AAAAAACATTTAAAATTAAATTGTATAAAAAAAAAAATTAAGTTAATAAAAACAATACTTAAGATAAATTTTCTCTAATATAAAATTTAGGGATGCATCGGTCCTGAAAAAGACCGGTCCAGGACCGGTCCCAGACCAGGACCGAAAAGGACTGTGGGACTGTTGAAGGACCGGTCCTGGACCGGTCCTGTTGTTAACAAACTGTGATATTCGTATCACCCAATCAAATTGCTTGATCAGGTGTAACACAAATCATATGATGTTTGTTTACATCCAACATTAAGTAATTACGTCATTTTTAACCAATAAAATCTAATGCATTTAAGATATGACGTAGCCATTGAAGGACCGGTTTGGGACCGAGGACGGACCGGACTGATACTGAAAATACTATGATAACGGTCCCACTAGGACCGGGACCGGACCGGACCGGACCGATGCATCCCTAGTTAAATGTGGTCAAATGATCTGCAAATTTAAACTTTTCCAAGTCACGTGAAGATATCCTTGAAACTTTAAACGAAGTTTTCACGTTTGATTCAAAATAGAAAAAATTTCATTAAAATTTCTCTGGTGGTTGTCAAGAAAACTTCACCGTGTATTGCGATGGTACGCCTAAATTTTTTGAAGGTTTGAACGAAGCTTTCTTGACAACTATCTGATTAATTTTGATAAAAATTTTTTATTTAAATTCTACAGACACGACTTAATTAGAGATTATTAGAGATTATTTTTAAAGTCGGTCTTTTGACACTTGAGAGAAACGATTTATGCAAAATTTTTCGTTTTTTAGTATGTAACACTTGAGTTCTAAAAAAGTACTCAAACATATAAATAAGTTACCCGGCAATTAATCTACATCAGCCACTCAAACGAGTTCCGTCCTATGATTCATAACTGCAGTACTTTAATGTACTAATACTAGTAAAGTGTTGTCGCGCTTTACTAGCATTAGAACACTATTGTGCCTTACCGGTATTTTCCATATGATTTGACTGGTCGAATTTTGCGCACCTTCGTTGCTTAAAATCGATCAATCAAATAGCATACAGCAAATACCTCAGTTATTCGGCACGAAGTGCGAAATGATGTCACGCAGCTATCTAGTAGTAACAACGATAAAAGGATATATCAATGATATAAAAAGGCAAAAGATAAATAAAAAAAGAAAAGAGATTTAATTACACGGTTGACGGAGAAGCATGACCAATAGATCAAAATAAAAGGAAAACTTCAATGGAATAAGAAAAATTAATGGAAACGATGCGAAGTTATGAAGATAATCTGCAACATGCACCAAGCATCCAAACATGCTGTCAAAATAAAATTTAGAAGTTCGATACTACTACGGGCGGCAAATTCGTCATATTGTTTTTTAACAAACGTTATAAGATTGTCGTATAATAACTGATCAAATTATCACCTTTTATTTCAAGGATCCCGCAAATTTTTATTATGATTGGATCAAATTTTATTTTCAGTTTAAAATAAATACAAAAAATATATTTTTTTTTACATATATGTTGTAAGTAGAAATGGATTTGGAATTTTATGATTTTAGGGGTAAATTTATTAGAAAAAATTCTACTCCAAAATTATTTTATTAAGAAATTCCAAATCATTTAAATTACGTTCTCACTTAAAGCATATACTGTATTAAAATTGCTTCTATTAATTATATGAATAAATGATATAATAAAATCTATATTTATAAAAAAAGTCTTTAATGCTTTATATTATTCAATTGACTAATTCTAATATTGTTGAGCCTCAATCCAACTTAATATCGTCATCATTTTTTATTTTACTTTGGGTTCTTACCCTTTTATGAGCTTAAAGCACCACTAAATATAGCCTGCAAGGATTTATTATCGAAAAATATTTTATCAGGATCATACTTTACGCGTACTTTCTCAAATTGTTTAATCGGTTCATTTAAGACCTTAGAAAGATAAGGTATAATGTTTGGAGTAGTGTCCCATTCTTTTCCCCAATGAGGCCTTTAGTAAACAAATATATATGATATAAAATAATAAGTGAATTAATCCAAATAGTTTCTAAGAAAAAAAAATTAATAAGTCTTACTTTGCATTGTACTTATTATTAAAATATCTTTGTCCTAATAATTGTATAAGTTCCTCCCAGTCAGGAGTATCAAAAAATGCTATTATATCCATTTGAAAATACAATGCTTCTGAATCATGATTAAAAGTAGTGGCAAATAAAGCCTCAGATGATTTTATGAATCTTAAATCTGCAAGATAATTTATTGGAACTTTGCCTTTTCCTGCCAAATTATATAACTGCAATATAATAGGGGCATTAAAAAGAGTAACAAGGTAAATTAACGGAATTTTGATATAATAAATAAAACTTACTGTTTTAATTATAAAAGAAATTTCGTTGACGACATTGGAAAAATCTGGATCAACTTTGAAACCAATTTCCCATAGTTTAACCTTAATACTTTCTACGGAAGGTACGTAATGGAAAGCATCAGGAGCCTGCAATACCCTACTAGTATTAACAGCACCACCAATAAGCTGATTAATGCCTATTGCTCGGTTTACATGTAATTGTGCGGACAGTTCTGGTGTTAAACTCACAGGATCATTGGTTCGTACCCAATTCTTAACCAAAAGTAGATCTCGATTAAGGTCAAGGGGATTTAGATCATTTGAATTATATCCATTGATTGGGCAATAAAATATTTCAATTCCATCGGAAGATTCTAAAAGATTTTTAATATTTTGTGGTTTAAGCCATTCGTTTGCTGGAAAAAGGGTGTCAGTCATACGAAGATTGTACATGGGTTGTACACGAAAAGTCACCGAATAGATTATACCAAGTAAACCTAAACAATTATAAAGTTAAGATAAAGCCAAGCGAATAATTAAAAGCATAAGCTAACAGTTACCTAAGTTGACTTTCGCAGCATTGAATTCTGATTTATCTTTTTCTTCACTGAATTCTACTATTTCACCAGATGCGGTAACAATTTTCATCGAGCAAAGTTGATCTGACATAATACCTGAACTGGTCTTTGCACCATGTGCACCTACTGCAATAACGCCAGATACTCGAAATGTGTCATATACAGTTTCAGAATCGAGAGTTAATGGTGGGTCATGTTTTCGGAGTACATCATCAAGTTTCGACAATGGTGTACCTATTTTTTAATGGAATGATTCATTCTATATATAATATTTACCACAAATGAAACTATTTGTATAAAACATTTACCCGCTTCAGCAGTAACAGTCCAGCCATATTTTGGATCTTTTTGTACAGTGACCTGAGTTAATTCTGTAACTATCACCAGATAGTTCTCTGTGTAAGATAGTTTACTTACACTATGTCCTTGGGCAGCACATCGAATAGTTTTATTATTTTGCTTTGCTAATTTTACAATGTCTACAAGGTCATTAAGTGTAGTTGGTTTAAAAATGGCACTTGGAGTGACATGAACTTGCCCATTCCAATTATTCCATGATTTGTCTCCTGTTGGTGTTGCTGAACGAATCACGAGGTTTTTATTAATGCTCACTGCGACGGACTTAAAAACCGTCGCAATTATCAGGATCAGTAAAAATCTCAAAATATGTTTCATTATAAGTGATCGAATGTGTGGAATTGAAAGATATATTTTTCTTTATGTTGTGTCTTATTTATTACTAGATATGCTTAATATAGTAGCCGCAAGAACAATTAAATTACCTCGCACATGAATTGCGGTGACCCATCAATTGGACCAATCGGCTATGTCCAATTTCAATTGGAATACGTATGTCTAATTGTCCAATTAATGGGTCCAATTGACAACACTGGTGCTTGCCCTTTTATAGAAAGTAATTTAACATAATGCATGAAAACAACTACTTAAAGATTATACGTATTTTCCCGTATATTTCAAAAAAACATAATTGAATTGACAATATGACGAGGTAATTATTGTAATCTAAGGCTCTTTTTTTTAAATCAAGAGTTATAGAATTGAACAAACATTTGAATATATCGTAATTATATGGACTGCCGTCAATAGAAATAAGGCCATTGAATATAAATTTATTAAGATAGTTTTAAAATTCATCGAGATATGAGCTGTGAAAGTTAAGGCTTTAAATTTTTTTAAAATGTCAATTTGCCTTATTTCTATTGACGGCAGCCAATTTAAGTACTTAATTTTTGTTATCAACCAATAGAAAACAAAAACGGTGGATTTTGTAGTATGCAACCGTTAAATAATTTATAGAATATGGATATAAATATAAACAAACTTAACATTTAAAATAAAATGTATGCCGTTCTATTTATCGATTAATTTTCTATCCAATATTATTTATGCATAATTTGTATCGTGCATACATACGAATGAACATGGATACAGTACATATACATTACTGCATAATGACATTCTTGTTAGCTATATTAAATTATGTGAATGTCCAATACACATTTATTAGTTTTGCCTTGATAAAAAAGATACATTTAAATGTTATAAAAGGAAACAAGGAGATAGTTTTGCACCTATTTTTATTCATTCATTTATTTGTCTTAAAAATATAAAGTATACTGTCAAATACATATAAAGAACCGAAACAGAACTAAGCTAATATAAAAATTAGAATTTACAAATGATCTATGACGGAACGAAATCTTTCAGGGTCTCCAATAAAAGATCATCGTAAAATTCTATAAACCTAAATCCCTCCCTTGTAATATATATATATATAAATAATGTATATAAAGTAGATCTGGCTATACAATGTTTTTTTTTTGATTTTTGATTTTAAAATATTTTTTTTTTCATTTTTATCGTGGAAATAAAATATAACAGTAACTGTTTATCGCAGCAAATTTATCAATGATATACAGTATATATATACATATATGTATATATGTAGCACATTAAAGTAATAAACTACGATAAATCGATAATAAAAATATAGTATATATATATATTTTAAAAGTTTTTTTGATCAGAACAAGACATTGGACGATTAATTAACTCCTTGCACGGGTTGGGAAGTCGACGCTTGACCTTCATCATCACCTGGTTCACCATCTTCTGGCTCTTTAGGTTCTTTTTTCCGTTGTTCCCTAATAACTGTTTCAACAACTGGACCGATCCTTCCATGAAATCTTTTTAATAATTCTTCATAATGAGCATTGTTTTCGGCCGGGAAGGACAATCCATTCAAAATTTCTAATTTTTCTGCTATTTTTTCAGGTGGAATTTCCCCATGGTCACCATGACGTCCATGACGTCCATGATGTCCATGTCCATGACGGAAGTGTGGATGCGCATGAATACGTGGTCCAAACCTGCAATGATGTCTGGGTCTCTCATCGCCACTAGAATTAAATTTCACTTTCTTATCGCACTTTCTATGATGACGCGGACGATGTTCATGAATATGTTGATCACGATGTTCTCCAGCATTAGGGCCTGATTTATCCATTTCAGGTTCTTTTTCTGATTTATCCACAATTATTTCGTATCCATGCTGTTTATGACCGTGGAATCGATGGCTACGATGGTGATGATGGCCTCCTTCATCATGTTTATTTGCTCTATGCATACGCCCATAACCCCTGCCATGATGACCACGAAAACGTTCTCCAAAAGGACATTCGCTTGATCCACCACGAGATTCAAGTTTAACTGACCCAGAGTAATTACGTCTTGGGCCATGATGAGATCGTTTACGAGAAACGAAAAAGTAAATGTCAGGATCAGAGCTACTACAATCATCTGTATGTCCTTGTTCATTAGCTTCATCTGCGGAACAAGTAATATCTTCACAAGCTTCTCCACATATTTCTTTGCAGGTTCCTTGTTCCTCAGCCTCTTCAGGCTCAGAATGGGAATAAAAAATAGTTTCGTAAGGTTCTTCATCGTCAAAGCTTATTTGTTCAAGCGCTGTGGCAGTTTCCTCCAAGGTCGGATTAGTTTTCAAAACGATTTGAATAGCGGTACCAGCCGAACATTGAGAATGAACCTCAGCAAGTTCTAAATCGCTTGAAAGTGTAATATTATCTCCATCTTCATCGGTATAAGTAGCAATCACTTGAGCATGAGACGGGATTTGGAAAAGGGTCCTTAGTTGAGATTCTAACTCTGCCCAAGTAGTATCAGCTCCGATGGTGAACTGACGAGAAACTGACCCATAAATAACTTTGACAGTTGTCATATTGATATAGGTGTATTGGTCCGTTCAAAAAAAAAAAAAAAAAAAATTTGTAGATAATAACAATAAGGTGGCTTCCACTTTTTCTTTCGGAAGTGTTTTTGTTAATGTGAGTAGAGGCTTTTCGTCTGACCTTTTTATAATTTTTTTTTGATCAACGTTTATAAGATCGGAAATGGTTTTCCGAGATATAGTTGGCTGTGCTACAATCATTACATTTTTATATTGTTCCAACGCCTATACGCAGCATACGCAGCCGCCAAAACGTTACGTAATCATAATACTGTAAACTGTAATACGTACGTACGTACGTACGTACGTACGTATGAATTAGTTATTACGTACGTACGTATGTATATATTATAAAAGTTGATCTTATTATAAATCCTTATTATACATATACCGTTAAATTATATGTATCGACAAATAATTTAAACTACATACGTACAAATGATCTTGTAGGATATTTAAAGGTTGATTTTTATAAGCAGAAATTCTAGAAGTATCTGGAATTTTTAGCTGTTAGAAATCAGTGCAATATAGTAATAAGTTCCGCAGTATCGGTATTACAGAAACAGCCACAAGAAAATGTAGCTTACGTCATGATTAAAACTAAGAACTAATAACGTAAGCTTTTTTTAATAATAACGTATTACGTTTATTGTGTGTTTTGGAGCTTTAACTATGACGTAAGCTACATTTTTTTTGTAGGCGATACTAGGGCTGCTAAACTTTTTTTACAAAAGAAAGAAATTGATATAAGATTGTGGCTTTTTTGACGCCTTTTCAAGACCTAAAAATGGGATTCAAAGATCTTTTAATCAGTTTAAGGCCGTTCTTTTATGCTTTAGAAGTGCTTTTTATAGACAGTATATCGCTAACCGTCCAATAAATGGATTTTTAACCATAGCTCTTTTACATAAAAATATATATACCGTAAATTCTCGGATATATAGGCTGATTTTCTGAGTAATCCACAAAGGTTCAGACTTTTTAGAGCCGGTCCGAAACTAGTTATTCTTATAAAGTAAGTGGCAGCGTTTATTCCATGATATAATAATAATTTGTGTGATACGTATAATAATTTGTGTTAAAATTTTGTTGTTTCTGTGTAACAGTTACAACTTTCAGAGGCTACTATGTCGGCGTACGTACGTACGTACGTACGTGTAATAAAAGTTCTGCGCCTTATAGGTCATTTTTATACCGACGGTTTACGAAATCAATATGTATTCTATACGTTATAGTTAGTTAATGTACTTCAGTTAAGGATTGTTCGACTTTAAAAGAAGGTATGTTTCATAATATTTAAAGAAATTTTCATTAAATGGAATCGTCACGGTTATAGCCGGCTATAGCCGTAGCCGATAATAGCCGAACCGAGCGGCTTAGCCAACCGGCTAGCCGATGCCAAATTTTTAATGTCCTGGTTTATGAAAATAATATATAGTTATTTGGCATGCTGTAATGATAATATCGTGATCTGCATGATCATGATATTATTATTACACATGACAAATAACGG